GTTAAAATGTTTACAGTTATTTTGGTTAATCTCGGAGAACTCTTAAAAAATTTGGGCAGAATATATCTCTCAGTGTAATGTGATTTCGTTGCAAAAGGGATTGAAATCGGTCCAAACCTTTCTTTATATATCGATTAAAACGATTTTTATAGCTCCAGTTGACAGTACATCATATAGTCAATAATCATATAATAATAAGTTCAATATCTTAATAAAATTCGGTCAATATGTTAAATTTAGGATAGCGGCCATATTTGTACATAACCTCACTTTAACGAATGTTGACAAGCATTTACTCTTCTAGCTGAGATAATATAATTATGATTATTTATTTAGGCTAATTGAAAATCAAGAAAGTATTTTCATTATAAATTTTTTTTTAAATCCACAATACATTTACTTTATAAATTTATTAGAAATAATAAAATTGATTAAAATATAAAATTAAATTAAAAAAGTTTAAACAATCAGCTGTACAGTTTGGAAGGCTGAACTTAGTATTTGAAATATATATGTATATATTTATATTTTATTTATACTATTAACTTTATCCTTTTCAGAATTCTCCACCAAAGCGGCGTCTCAGCAACATATTCAAGCGGAAATAAAGCTGTGCGCCAGCAACACTGCATTTGAAGCCATAATTGAAAAACGAACGTCCATTTTATTGTTTTTAATATTTGGATAATTCCGGTATATGCTAACTTAAATTGTTTTAATATTTATTCTTAATTTGTTTTACAATGTATAATGTTTACATTTTTAATAATTATTCATACTTACGTGTGTCTGTGTGTGTATGTGCAACAACAACGGAAAGCGCAAATTTGCTTTTGCAATTTGAGCGCAACTTTTAGTTTATATGTGTAGTGGTATAAAGAGAGCGAGAGAGAGAAGCAAACTAAACAATAATATCTCTATTTAAATTGTATATGAATTTGCATTTATTAAACTGAAGAAGTAAATAAGTTGTAGCACAAATAAAAACATAAAATATTTACATTTAGATTGCTAATAGATTACTCTCGAATTACCACATAACTCGAAAAAAAGCGAACAATTACAAACACACGCAGGAAACACAAATGGGTATTTAATTGTATTATTAACAATTAATTATTAATTATTTGTAATAATCATTTCAACGATTGTTTATTTTAATCACAAAAAAATCAACAAAAACAATAAAAATATTTATTGTATTTGCATTAAATATATATAGTTTTTATATATGCTTTTTAAGAACAATATAGGAAATCTATAAAATATATTGTACAGTTATTGTAGTAGTATTTGATTTGAGATTTGATTGGAGATTTTTTTATCTATCTATTATGTATACATATAGACTAAAAAAAATCTTAATAGATTGCAACTCATCGGAAACGAAAGATAAAATGACAAATATTAAGGGAAAAATAATTTACGGGCAATCTGAGCTTAGGAAAACGAAGAGGGAGAGGCGTGGCTGAATTTTTAAGTGTTAAGAATGGTTTATCTCGATTTACGGTTACTACGGTTCCTACAGAAAAAAGTTATATGGCAATGTTGTAGGTAATGAAAAGATCTATAACTTTCGTATTGTGACTTTTTTCACATAACCTCAAAACTTATGTGAAAAATTCATATAACCAACTTTTTGGGTTTTTTATTTTTATCTTGTACAACATTTTTTTTCAAACACGAAATTTGGCGGAAACTAACCTTCTTATGTCCTAAACATACTGTATTTTTTTTTATTTAAAATATTTATTTTTTTCTTATATTGACCTAATATCGGAAAAAACCCAAATTTTCGATCATAAAATCTCAAGTCAAAATATAAAATTTTTTTAAAAAGTCGGCAGGCTTTATGTTCGTGGAAGTCCCAATTTTCCGATGGTATAAAATATATTTGCATTTTTATGGTAAATAAAAATATAGCAACTATAATATTATACATAGTACCCAGTATTTATATACACATTTGTGTGTATGTATACATATCTTATGAAAATGCAATGTAAAACATGTTTACAATCGGGAGGGGATTGTGCTGCGCGCTTCGTGTTCAAACGAGAAAAATATTTTTGTTTTTAACTAAGAAACTGCTTTATATGTTTATGCACCTTTCCAGGAATTTCGCATTAAAAAAGTAAAAATATACAAATACATATGTACATATATGTATAGATATATTTATATATTTTATGCGAAGTTTACGAAACTTATGGTATACTTGTACATAGATTAGCAGAATTTTTTTTCGGAAATGACTTAAGCTTGAATGTTAGTGGCGTTACTATTCGGCGACGTCTTAAAGAACAAAATCTCAAAGCGTGCCATCCACGAAAAGTTCCACTGTTAGCCACCAGACATGTCAAAGCCCATTGGCCCATTACAAAGTGGCGAAATATTTTATATAGTGACGAAAGTAAAATTGTGTTATTTGGTGGAAAGGGCTCCAGACAATATTTCAGACGTCCACCTAACACAGAGTATGATGCTAGGTACACTTTGAAGACAGTTATCACGGCGGATTGAGTATTATGGTATGGGCATGTTTTTCTTACAGTGGAGTGGGCAGTATATTCATGATTGATGGGATCATGGATCGATCTGTATATGTTAACATATTAGAAAATGTTATGTTTCCTTATGCCAATTGGGAAATGCCACTAAAATGGACGTTTCAACAAGATAACGACCCCATACATACAAGCAAACTGGTCAAAAGCTGGATGGCATCAAAGCGGATCGATCTTATGTCATGGCCTGCGCAGCCTCCGGATTTAAATCCAATTGAAAATCTATGGGGAGATGTTAAACGATATGTTGCAAATGCAAATCCAACATCTCGATCACAGCTTTGGAAGGTTGTTCAAAAATCATGGGAGCGGATCTCTGCCAAGCGCTGCCAGGACTTGGTAGATTCTATGCCTCGCAGATGCCAGGCCATAATAAAAAATAATGGGTACACGACTAAGTACTAACCCAAGCAAACAAATTAAAATAGTTTTTTGGAGTTCAACAATGTTTTTTTCGACTAATTCCACTGTTTTCATTACTCACTGTTATTTTTATGAACAGCTGTAAACAGCACTTTTTTGTTTAAATTAATAATGTAAAAAAAATTAACAACATTTTGAATAATAAATTGATTTGTTTTTGTTTAAAATAATCACAAAGTTAAAACAAAATTAAATTTGTGAACATTCATTTACTTTTTGATATATAAAATTAAGTTTAAAGTTGCAGCTCATGAGCACTGCTATTTTTATGAACACAGCTGTATATACATAATGATCACCGTGACGAGCTGAGTAGATTTAGCCAGTCTATCTGTGTATACGCGAACTAGTCCTCAATTATTGAGATGTTGATCTGAAATTTTGCACAAGTAACTGCTCATTTGTCAGAACGATGGATGTCGGCTCACTATAGCATATAGTTGCCATACAAACTGAACGATCGGGATAAAGTGCTTGTATGGGAAACTTTTTCATTGAACGAGATATCTTTAAGAAATGTGGCATGGTTTAATTTCCAAGGCAACGCCACGATATCCGAAGAAATTGTTCAGATCGGATCTCTATGGCATACATACAAGTATAGCTGTCATACAAACTGGAAGATCAAAAGCAAGTTCTTGTAAGGAATCTTTTGTATTTGTGAAGGGTGCTATAGCTTCGGTTTAACCGAAGTAAACGTTATTTTTGTTTCTTTGGTTTAAAATTAGTTTTTATTGCGAATATATTTTAGTTACTTTTTTGGAACTTTTCGATTTGGTGATTTTTTTTTGTATTTTTGATTTTTTCGATTTGGTTTTTTTAATTTATTTTTAACTTTTTAGTTAATTTTTATTTTTAACTTTTTAATTAGTTCTTTTTTTAATTTAATTTTTTTTTTAAACTAATTTTTTTTTAATAATTAAAAATTATTTTTATAATTTTTTTTTAAATTTTTTTTTAATTTTTATAATTTTTTATTTCCTTTATTTTTGTTTTTAATTGATTTTTTCTTTTATGTTTTTAATATTTCTTTAATTTTTTTGTAGTATTTACTTTTGTTTATATTTTAAGTTTTGCCGATTTCACTAAGCAATTGAACTTACTGAGGAAAATCCTGCTAGAATTTAAGATTAAAAGTGTTAAGCATATTTAGTCGAAATTCTGATTAAATGAGCATTAGTAGTTTTAAAGAAAAATGTGGTAAATTATTTAAACATGAAATGTACACAATTTATTATGTATCAAGTAGATATATGGTTGCATTATTCTCATATTTTATGTGTAAAAAAAATTCTTTATATTTTGAGACAACTGAGATAAGCGTGACTCTAGGCGGTTGCCTAATAAATTTGTTATGGGGAAATATTTAGATAAGAGGCAATTTTGAATTTAAAATTCTGAAATCTGGTATGTATGTATGTAATAATATGTAAATATCAGCTCACTGATTATAAAATTAACTGGTTTCTTTTCAGCAGAATTTTAACCATTTGCAAATTGAATATGCTGATGATGGTCGAATATTGATTATAAAATCACATAGAACACGTTCTTCGTCCTAAACGCAAACATGTATGCATACATACGTATATGGATATTAAATAATATGAGGCACTATGTCGGATACTTTATTTTTCTCAGAGATACCAATTTTTCCTTTGAAACTTGCAAATTTTCCATACCTTTCTCGCCAAAAATAAATAAAAAGAAAGACAATCAAAAGAAATGGTGAAGAAATTCTATCTCCACGCTTCAATACGCTGACTGTGAAATCAAAACGAACAAAAAATTTAACATTTTACGAATACGACAGCACTTCGTGTCCACAGCGATCGTTCGGGCGCACTTGATCACAGCTCGGCTTCGCGATATCGCAACGCACGCTACAATAAATGACATTTCTGCAAATATATACATAGATATATTCAAATGTGAAATCGAAATGCGAATAAATATCGGCATATTTTGAATAAGCGCTGCAACAACATGCTATACCTTCATATACGTATGGTATACATATCTATGTCCGGACAGGTATTCAAATCAGCAACACGAGCGCTCCGGCTGGCGCACTGACGACTTACTTGGATGGTTGGCTGCTCGGCTGGTGGCTGGGATGTTGGTTAGTTGATAGCTTCATGGTGTTGGTGTGGCTGGTGTAAATGTGTCAACTGAAATTGTGTTGTTATTGTTGTAGAAGAGTTATTGAACACCACACATTTGTATGTACATATATGTGCGCACATATGTACAAGCGCGCGATTGCCAGCGCTACAACAACAATAGTAGCAATGTTAATTCGTATTTATTTTAATATTTTCCTTTAAAAGCACACACTAAACAGATCAGTAGATCAGTTTAATTCAGACCAGAATTTAACTAACAACTGTCGAAGTAAAAGCGCAACAGATTTCTTCTTTGCAAATAATCAGTGATAAACGGTTGAATGCAATATTGCAGCGAGACACAAAAGGAGATCCTCAAATCTCTGTATTTATATAATCGAATTGCCAGTTTACTTTGTGGACTTTGTGTGGCGAAGGACTTTAATCGTCGTCAAATTTAATGTGAAGTGTTGTTGTTGTGAAATGTTAAATTAGAATATAAAATTAAAGCGTTGAAAGGCTTTAAAAATATTTATCTATAAGTGTGTCTAAAATTTAAAAACTGCTGTTTTGAACATTTGTACTGTGAAGTCAGTGTATTTAAAAAAAAAAAATTGTTTTGCATGTAAAACTAATACTCGAATAAGAAAACTATTGTATATAACATTTGTTGTGTGATAATGCCGGCAAGCGATTCGGAGCGTAATATTTCGACCAGCAACACCGAAAATATCAACTTAACAAAAGACCCACAACACAGCAATGACGATCAGAAGCTGAATCAAAATGTACGCCAAGAATGGAATATCAAAGCTTCGAAAATATCCGCAAGAACACACAACCGCATACGTGGTATTGTGGAGTCCTTGAAAATCAAACCGAATCCTGACAAGCCAATGATACCGTTATCTATCGGTGAGTAGTTATTATACACTGAATCTGAACGATCGGAATAAAGTGCTTGTATGCAAAACTTTTTCATTTGAGAAGAAATTTCTTGCGAAATTTTTCATGCGTTATTGTATAAGGTAATAATGCGATCTTCGAAAAAATGGTTCAAATCGGATCCTTAATTCTTGTAAGGAATCTTTTGTAGTCATGAAGGGTATTTTTTCTTGTGTTTTAAAGTAAAATATTTTTAGATACTTAAAACGTTGCCCGTGTGAGATAAAATTTGGAAAAGGCTGTGTTATTCGAAACGAAAAATTATTATTTTTTATTTTTGAAAAATTAATTATTTTTTTTTGAAAATTTGTTTAAACGATTTTCTTAAAAAATTTTAACATAAATTGATTTTATTAAAAAATTCTCCATTCATCTAGCATTGTGGTGATGATATTGCTGGTTGATGATTTTTATGGTCAACTTTATTATTTACAACAAATATATAATATAACTCTTATTACAAAAAAAAATTAAAGCTTTCAAAAATTCAAAAAATTAAAAAAAAGGTTAATTTAATTAAAAAAATTTGTTTATTAAATTGATTTATAAAAATAAAATATTTAAACACTTTAAATCTTGCATCGTCGTGGTGTCTATTGCTTATCAGCAATGTCGATTAATCTCAATTTTTATGGTTATGAAATTCGTGAAATTTTAAAATAATATATTTTTATTCCTTCCTCAATATTGAAAATATGGAAGAGGTATCGATAGTGAGATCGCAGAACTTACTTATTAAAACTCGCGGCAAGAACTGACATCGTAAAAGATGACTATTTCTCATGTACTACGTAACGACACTCCATCTGGCATCACTAAAAACCAAAAATGGTCTATGCGAGGCTCACGAACCTACCAGACTAACCTAACCTAACCTAAATATGGAAAATATATAAAGCCACGTTAGCCTTATATGCGCACTAGGTCCTACTACAAGTCTTAGAGAACTACGCATGCCGACCGGTGGACAGAGACCCATTGTAAACGAAAGTTCTCTGAGCTTAAAAATATTTAGACTTAAGAAGATCAAAGTTTTACCATTTATTCAGAGATTAAGGAAAAAGAAATTGAATTTCTCTCCTTCAGGCTTTATTTTGCTTTATTAACCTACTTCCACTCTACAACATTTGATACGAGGCTTTTAAGTGACAAAGACAGGATTCCCTATAATGAAATCCAAAATCATTTTGCTGCCATAATTCGAATTAGTTGCTGCACTTTGATATAATGAAGCATCAATAATGCTGAAATATATTATTTCAACTAAAAACTGCATATTTATGTTTGTATGTATGTACCTAGTATGATCGCTTGTAAACTAACCTACGATATGTAACTAATTTATCGCGTTACACCGTATGAAAGGTGATCATGCGCAACTGATCGTTTTAAATACATACGCAGATAAATATGTGCTAAACCGTTAGATAAGTACAAATATACAGAGAAGGTACTAAAGTATCGCGAATCATCAAAATCATTGCCAAAGTGAGTAAACTTAACGAAAGTTGTCATTCTTTCCGCGATTTTCTTCAGCTGCTGTAAATTACTCTTAAGATATTGTACATACATACATACACATGCAAAAGTATATGGAAACAAGTTTAACTTCGCGTTTAATACAAAAAAAATTAGGCAACAACATAATTTATTTTTAATTTGCATAAAGTGCAAAGTTGTTTTTGCGTCAATAATAAATATTTCTTTATATATTATATATATGTATATACATATGTATGTGGTAAATTATTGTGCTGTCGTGTATATTGCGCCATTGTAGCGTACACACCTTCTTCATGCGACCAATCAGATCAGCGCAGAGGTAAACAACTCAAAATCGCGCTCAAAGAGTTACACTCAAATTTCGTTGCTCCGCCATTTATGCTCGTGGCTATGATGTGGAGACTCTTGTGCGAACAGGTGCAATATTTTGTGTTATTATTGTAGAAAAATTCTTACTTACTACTGTTGTTGTTATTTAGTTTTTGTTTTTTTTTATAAATTTATTTACGCAACAATCTTTTCACGAAGCAGCCTCTAATCACTCGAAATACTTGGGTGAATATTCATAAGTCCACAATATGCCGCTGACTTTCCAAAGTCTTTTCGAACTTGTTTGTTGTTTATTCAAATCTAGAAATATTCTCGATAGTTGTCTGCGGCGAATTAGCATAAAAAGTTGCCCCAGTGATCTATACGAGTACAAGCTGTGTGTAAATATAGTATTGTTTTTGTTTTTGTTTTTTTTTTTCCACCTCTGGATACACCCAATTTTTGCCGTTTTCGAACACTGTTCTTAGACTGCGAAACTGTGCGATCTTTAAGAATGTTATCAGTCAGCATGTGTTGGCACTTTTATTTTCTGTGGAAATTGCGCGTTTGCGCTACGGTTATCGGTTACCGCTAATATGTGTGCTCAGCCGGTACAGGTTGGCGTTTCAGGTTTATTACTAGCTTTTGCTAACCCTATAGATATTCATCTAGCTGTAGTGCGACATACTTGGATTACACTTCACCAATAATTTGCTCGTGTATGCAAATGCAGGGCGCATTTTTCTTGCTCATTAGCGGCTGAACATGTGTGTAGCTCGTGCTTGAGCTATTGCTACCTACAGTAGTGTGCGAAATGAAGATATTTTTAATGTTATTATAACATAGTTTTTGTTTTTTTTAGAAATTTCTTTATTTCTTATGTAATTATTTATTCTGTTATTGGTTATATAATAAACCGAACAACAGTAGTGAAATTTAGACGTTGTGTTTTTTCGGTTTCGTCGCATTTTTTGAAGCGCCATTCGCTAGATTGTTGGACAGTTTCGACGTCATATCCATAAGCCCATGTCTCGTCACCAGTAATGATCCGTTTGATGCATGTAGGGTTCTCAGCTACGCTGTCTAGCATCACTTTTGCGACCTCTACCTTAAATACCACCTTAAACACCAATAAATTCAGTTTTTTTTGGTAAGAGTCTAGCATTGACACGCTTCATACCCAAAACATTAACCAAAATATGTTAAGCCGATACGTAAGAGATGTTAAAATCCGCTGCTATCCCTCTTATGCCAACATGACGTTTTTCCAGCACAGTTATCGTTATTAAGAGAGTTGGAACTAGACAGTTTTTTTCAATCAGTTTGCATCGAAGTTCTTGAGGGACACAGCTCAGTATTCTGTTACCGCCTAAAAAGGTAATTTTAAAGAATTTTTTTTAGATAAAACGTTTTAAAATACATACGCAATACATTGAAAATTTTAACAAAACAAAAAATTAATTTTTAACGAATTATTCGCAATTGCTCAATTTACTATAAAAGGTCCTAAACTTCTGCAGTGAATAATAAGAAATATTTTTAATCTATAAAGTATTACATATAAAAATACCCATGATTGTTAAAAAAAATGAAATTTAACAAAATGGATTTTTGCTCAAAACTCATATGATATTTGGCCCATTAAAATTACATTTTTCAAACAATCGAAAAACTGCTGGGTCATTGTACAGAGAAACATAAACAAAATATGCGAAAAAAAAACAAGGCGATCGAATAATTTCAATAGGTGGGCCCCTTACATTATATTAATAAATATAGTTTTCTTATATTATATGAAATATACAATAAAAAAAATAATAAACTATTACACAATGATTGTGTTCGTAGATATCTCACAGCCAATTTGAATGTTAATGGCAGCTGGCGGATTAGGCCTTTAATTAGAGCGTTTTTTATAAAATATTAATTAGAAGCAATTGACGCAAATGTGTTTTTATAATGTTTATACAATATATTTATAAACAAACTATTAAACTAATAATAATTACAATTAATTAAATTATTTGCATATTTTTTATATAAATATAACAATCATATAGGTGATCCAACGACGTTCGGCAACCTACGTGCCTCCGACGAAACTATGCTGGCTGTACAGAGATGCATCGAAAGCGGCAAATATAATGGCTACGCCCACTCACAGGGTCACGAGGAGGCACGACGCGCCATCGCCAAATATAGTGCACATCAGAGCGCCGAAGAGATAAAAACAGAGAACATACTAATGTGTAGCGGTTGCTCGGCTGCGCTGGAGTATTGCATACTGGCACTTTGTGACAGGGGACAAAATTTGCTCGTACCACGCCCTGGTTTCTGTTTATATCAAACGCTAGCCGAAGGTTTGGATATCGAAATACGTTATTACGATTTGTTGCCGGAGCGTCAATGGGAGGCTGATCTGCGTCAGTTGGAGAGTTTGATTGATGAAAAAACAGCAGCGTTGCTAATCAATAATCCAAGTAATCCGTGTGGCAGTGTATTTAGTCAGAAGCATCTGGAGGGCTTTTTGGATATTTGTGAGCGCAATTATTTGCCCATAATAGCGGATGAGGTAATTTAACAAAGATTTGTTCCCAATTAAAATGAATATTAATTATTTTTCTTTACAGATCTATGAGCACTTGGTATTCCCAGGCTCTAAGTTTTTAGCCATTAGCAGTCTGTCTAAAAATGTGCCGATACTCACATGCAGTGGTACTACAAAACGTTTTTTGGTGCCTGGTTGGCGTATGGGTTGGATAATTGTGCACGATCGCGAAAACCGTTTGGCTCAAGCTGTGATTGGCTTGAAGAACATGTGCGGCCGCATTTTGGGCTCCAATAGCATAGTGCAGGGCGCACTGCCCGCTATGTTGGAGAATACACCAAAAAGTTTCTTCGATAGTGTGATCAATATAATCTCGGTAAATGAAGCTTTTTTTCTGTAGAAAAATTGGAAATAATTAGGTGCTCTTTTTTAGGCAAATGCACGTTTGGCTTATCGCATCTTGAGGAAGGTACGCGGGCTTAATCCTATTATGCCGGACGGCGCTATGTACATGATGGTTGGCATCGATATCGAACATTTTCCAGCCTTCAAGTCCGACACGCAATTCGTGCAAGAATTGGTGAATGAGCAGAGTGTCTTTTGTTTGCCGGGTGCTTGCTTTGAGTGCCCGAATTTTATGCGCATAATTTTGACAGTTCCTGGTGACATGATGAAAGAGGCATGCATGCGTACGGCAGAATTTTGTGAGGCGCATTATAAGAGTGATGAGGCAATTATTGAGCATGGACTCTTAGACTGAAGTTGGAACTATGGCTTGGAAAAACGATTGCCTAAGCTGGGAAGGGCTATTGAAAAGTGCTGGGCATAAAGCTCGATGATATATTTAGTGAAACCGCTGTGAAAAATAAATAAAATTGCATTTGTACTAGTTTTTTTTTTAGTTATTCACACAAGTAGTCAAAGTCAAATATGTATATGACCTTAATAGTTTCAAATAAGTAGTTAATAGGTCTTTCTGTTAAGTTAATATAATTATATGTTATTTTTGCAATACTATTGTTACGACATACATAGAATTAGTTTTGAATAAATAAATGATATTAATTACCAAAGGGCAATGTCAATGCAAACTGCTTACTTTGATAAAAAATGTGCAAAGGTTGCATTAATACCTACTCAATGCCGATTAAGGTATGAATATTCAATGACAATCGGTTATTGAACTAAACTCAGACTCAGAAGAGCTGACTGTTTTTATTAAATTCATTCACCTCTCCGTGATCATATCTTTGATATTGTTATTTTCTCAATTGTTTCTATTCTGCAAAACTCAACGTAGTATTTTATAAGTAGTTTCATTGAAATGCAAATATTTTACATTTTATATGTCTTCTAATTCCCTTTCATTCATATATTTTTATTCCAAGTAAGTAAAGTAAGTTTCTGTACAGCTGTTGCTTTGCCGTGTTTCATTCTTACTAACTAAATTGAACGTATTTATTAGCCCGCCATCTTATTGCTTTCCGTTTCCGAAATAACTCAACGATACAATACCCGTAACAAATAAAACCCTAATAAATACCCAATCAGCTGTTGCATTTGACAGCTAAGCCATAACCTTAAAGAACTTATAAACAAAAACATTTCAATCACTATAATTTAAAATGCGGCATTTCTTGAAAGGAGTAAATTCAATAAAGAATTTGCCAAAATGTCTTTTACAACAAACTGGTGCAACCTATTGCACACAAAAGAAATTGGCAAATGAAGTGTTTACGGCGCAATACTGCGTTAATTTGGTGGAGTGAGTATTAAAAGTTTTAGCCAATATTTTTATTGCATCCCCGTATGTTATATAAAATCAAAATTATATTCACATAGGTTTTTTATTGTAGGAAAAATGACTATGAGAATTATTTATGCACGTTGTTGCTGAATGGCGATCAACGGCGCCACGCATTTGCGTTGAGGGCGTTCAATGTTGAGGTGGCCAATTGTGGCGCCAAGGTAAGAGGAGGTGCAGCGCTGAAGTGATTGATATACTAAGATTTTCACTTACTTCTAGGTGTCCGAAGAGCATATAATTAAATTGAAATTGAAATTTTGGTATGATTCAATTGATAAATGCTTCTCCAACGAAGTGTCTTACGTTGCCGATCATCCAGTTTTACGAGAGCTAAAAAATGTATGTTTACTTACAAATATTATACATTGAAAGATAACTATTAGAACGCTTTACTTTTGCCTTACAGACAGTGGATTCAAATAAGCTGAGCAAAATTTATTTAAAGCGCTTGGTCACGGCACGTGATCGGCCAATGAACCAACCATTCCTTACAATAAAACAACTAGAAGAGTATGCTGATCAGGTTTTTTCATCACTGTTTCATCTTTTAGTTGAATTAAATGGCATTAAGGATATACAGGTGGATCATGCAGTTTCACATCTAGGCAAAGCACAAGGTATTGCAACGCTGCTAAGAGCAATACCATATAAGAGCCGCAGTCAAGCATTGAATATACCACAAGAATTGTTAATCAAACATGGTGTCAGCCAGGAACGTATAGTGCGGGACAAAGTTGACGACAAAGGTGTAGAAGAGTGCATTTTTGAGGTGGCATCTGCAGCGCATCAACACTTAGAAAAGGTGAATTTTGATTTAATGAATGATTTTTAATTTTTGTATTGTAATAAGGGCTACTTTAAAGACGATTTAGCCATGTCCGTCTGTCTGCACATGGAAAATGTCCCTCAGTTTTTGAGATATGAATCTCTAATTTTGCACTCATCATTTTATTTGCAAGAAGCTGCACATTTACCGATATTCAACCACTATAGCATATATGTAGCTGCCATACAAATTGAAAACTCAAATCCTTGAATGACAAATTTTTTTATTTGACAATATATCTTCACGACATTTGGCATGCATTATTATTTAAGGCATGGCTATAATCTCAAAACAAATTTTTCAGATCGGACCACTATAGCTTATAGCTGCCAAACAAACTGACTGATTAACATCAAGTACCATGTATGTAAAACATTTTTATTTAACAAGATATCTTTACAAAATTCAGCATGGATTAGTGCCATATATATAGCTGCCATATAAATGGACCAATTATAATCAATTTCTTGTGTGGAATCTTTTGTATTTGTTAAGGGTGTTATAGCTTCGGTGCAGCCGAAGACAAAACTGTCTTGTTTTTAATTAATTTTTATATACCATCACATTTCTTATTCCATTTTATAGGCTCGTAGTCTAATGGATAAAGTACCCAAAGAGGTACGTAAATTTTTCCTACCTTCCATCGTAGTGGAGCGATATTTGGAACGCTTACGAAAATCGAGTTTTAGGTTAGTTGTTGATTTTATTTAATTTATCTCCGACTAATTAACATATTCTTTCATATCTATTTATTAATAGATTAACTGATCAAAGGTGCTTACAGAGAGATTCGATGCTACCGATGTCATTATATTGGAGTAACTTGCGCAGGCGCTATTGAATACTTTATTGTGGGTCTTCAGCAAATTCAATTGGAATGAAAAGCCAATTCTTTGCCAAATCATGCAGGGATTCGGCGATAAGTTGACTGATTATACGCAAAATACTACTGCAGTCGGCATAAGTAATCCATCACGTGGCAGAATTAATCGAAAAAGATATAAATTGTAAATAATTTAAAATGCGATAAACACAAAGGAAATTTATAGCATACTTGCGATTGATGTCTATGGTTTTAACAAGTGGCAATGGACCGGCATTCAAACGTAAAACTTCAGCATAGCTGAGTTCATCATTTATTTTAGCAGACGATTTCGGTCGCATGAAATTGGACTCAGACAAATAATCCCAATATAGTTTCTCAAATATTGTTGTAGTTGAAGCTTTCGATTGCTCACGTTTGGGCGGCAACAGTTCCCAAGCAATATTTATTGGTTCATCGGGCTTAAAATTTACTTTCACATTTAGATGCAAAAATATATGCATCATATAGCTGGACTCCTTCCATTTGGGATCATCAATGGATTCCACTTCCTCCAACAGTTCCTTTGCAAGTTTCGTTGATTTATCGAATACCCGATGTACTTCCAATGCTAATGGAATACGTTTAAAGTGAAGCGCCCGTTCGTAAACACGCATATTGACAATGCAAAGTTTCGAATGATGTGGCTTAAGACGGAATACATTCGGCTCGAACGTTACTTCGAATAAATCGCTGATGATGTAGCTAATTCATAATTAATTTTTTTTTAAATAAAGCAACAAAGGTGAAAGTTGTAGGTATATATATTTTAAGTTTTTGGACTGCTTACTTTTGCCAGCGGAACTCGACGCATTTTTGGTTGTAATTATGAATGGCCACCATATGGCTTCTTTGCTCCGAACGTTGCATATCAAATTCTATTTTATTGGGGTAAATAACGTATGGGAAATCAGCGCATTCATAATCCTCAAGCGGCACTTCTGGGTCCTCGGCAACCTTTTCGAGATAGCCCACTGCTTTGACTTGAAACTTCGAACGAATATTTTCGAAATTTAAATTAAAATCCAGCTATTAAAAAAGGAAGTCATATAGTTTTAGGGTAATCTTCAGCACAAAGCAATTATATTATATATTTTATGCTCTACAAAAATGAAAATCCCCAACTGACCTGATTTTCGAAATCGCTCGGTCTATATTCCACCATCAGCGGCCAGACACTTAAACGTGGCACTGTTAAATTGGGATTCATCAACTTTAAGCCGCGTTCTCGTGTCGAAAAGACAAAATTCAAATGTTGACCCGTTATATTCTGCACCCAAATCGGCTGAACAAAACGACGATGCTCTTTCAACTCGGTTGGTAAAAGTTCTTTAGTAATAATGCAAGCATTTGGATCAAAACCGATTACATTGACTTTGAAATTCAAAGTTAGAACTCGTGAATCGGAGCAACTATAGTATATAGGAAGTATAGAGCGGTAAATAGCTAATTGAATAATTAATATTTTGAATTTGCCGTTACTTAAATTCATATGTAAGCGTGTGTTCGCCGAATAAAAAATAATAGAAAACGATTCTCAACGCCACTAAATCGTTAGGTTTCATATGTATGACCTCTTGCAGAATATGAATTAGACGCCTATGTGGACAGTGGAAGAGTTGCCGAAACTGATTGAAGCCCACACGAGTTTCCAGTGGCACGCATTCGCATTTTTGTATACGCTTTAAACGTATATCGAGATTTTTCTCGGACAAGTTTCGCAACCAGAGAATAATTTTCAGGGGACGACTATTGATTTGACGCATTGGCATGGCAATGTCGTGTTGAAATTTGCTTCTATCCTTATGAATTTGCCGATTGAGTCTATAAATGTTATAAATGGATATTAGTTGTACTATCACTCTAATCTAAAATTACTTATCAATATCGAAATATTCCCAAAAGTACACTTTCAGTGCCGGTGGTGATGTAACGGTCATGTTTTCAAATTTAAATAATTGATATAATCGTTTAGCTCCCTCCTTTTGTTGACGAGCCCTTTCGAGTACAGCTTCACACATGCTTCGAAAAATTTTAAAGCTCCTAAATTGGCGAACTCTCTTTTGCCTGAATCTTAAGCTTTTATAAAAAATCTGTAATATTTATAAAAACTGTCGAATGGAAATTGTCAAAAACATCGCACAGTGGATAATATATGGAAATTTCTAAAACACGTTGCTCTTATATGATAATATATTATACAACTTATTTACAAAATCGATACTTATTAAGAACAAGAAATAACTTGATTTTGATTGTTTAGACCGTAGTGGTCCGATCTTAACAATTTGTTCGGAAATTGTAACGTTGCTTTGGGCCATAATCAGTGTCAATTTTATTAAGATATATTTTCAAATAAAAGAGCTTTATATACAATGACTTAATTTTGATCGTTTAGTTTATATGACAGCTATATGCTATGAGCAGCTTCTTAGAAACAAAAGGACGTGTGCAAAATTTTAGATTGGTATCTCAAAAACTGAGGGACTAGTTCCCTTATATACAGTCAGACGGACACGGACAAATCTACTCAGCTCGTCCTCTGATTATATATATAAATTTTTTGTTATAGTGTCCCCGACGTTTCCTTCGGGGTGTGCTACAATCTTCGTTGCAAACTTAATATGCCTTGTTTATGGTATACAAATTATTAATTTAATTGAATAAATAAATTATTATGATTGAGGATGTTGGTTGAACATTAAATACTTTTGATTACACACTTTATAATTTATTTTTTAATAAATTTAATTTAAATTTATAATGGTTGGTTAAAAAGGGAAGTCAAAGGGATGTCTGACCTCATAGTCAATTTTCTACTGTTTCATCATATTCAGTTTATGCTCTGCATTCCGCCGATACCGCCTTGCCTAATTAAATAGAATCAAATAATATTCTTCAGTAACTATCTGTTAGTTAGAATATCAGGCAAATAACCATAAATGTATAATTTAAAACTCTATTGAAATCAACTAAGCAATCGTTACCCGGTAATTGCGACATTGTCACAACAATAATTCCAACCGTCAACGTGCATATTTCGCTGCCTTAAGTTGGTGTATTTGACTCTTTCCTTTCAACTAATTGTCATCTCTTGTTCACACATGGAAAAATTAGTTTCACTGCCAATTAAAGAACTCAGTTGGTTTCTTTCTAATTTTTGCGTTTGTTGGTCATTGATTGACAGAACGTGTTGGAAATTAGTGTTGAATGCGATTTACGGAATTCGCATTTTTCGAGTCGTGTGTGTTTTTCTATTCTCATACAGTTACAATAAAGTGTCGAATTTACATGTAAACACTAAAAACACGAAGTGCTAATAAATCCTCAAAATATTTTACGCAATTATTTTGCTTTCATAGATTGTGTCGATTTTTTTGTCCTGTAGATTTGTAGGAAATCACAAAATTCGGGTGAAAAAAAGGAGTGTGCCCGTATGATGCATCGTGAATGTGAGTGAGAGTGTATTAACGAAATTTGTGACAAAAGCTAACGCGCGAAAAAAGTGCAAAGCAACGACAAAAATTTGTGCAAACGGAAAAGTAAACGACAAACGTGAAACCGACAAAATATAGAAAAAAGAAACAAAATAGTGGAGCGAAAGCACAATTTCATTCCATTTGAAAAAAATCATCAAATTTTATAATAAATAAGCAAAGTGTAAAGTTTCTATCTATCTATAATAGGATAGATATATAATAGTAGGATACACCGATAATACTTGCAGCCGTAGCAAACGTTATAAAAGGTAATTTTTAGTGCTATACAATATGCTGATAAGATTGTTGAATACTTTGGAAAGTGTAAATAATATCAGTCATTGTTTCTATAAACATTTCTACGAGTGTATATATCTCCTGTAAAGAGCATTAATAACATATATGAGGTGTTTGACTGTATTCTGACGATAAACGCGAAGTTGTGTATTGCTTTGATTTATCTCGTGATCGACATGCAGTCGACCAACGCCTCTTAGGGCCATAAAAAAATATTTTATTTACTTATGTTCCTACGATTAAATTTCGGTGATGAATTTGTAGTGCTTGTTTGCGGACATTGATATCATATGTATATTGTGGAAAATTTCCGGTCTGGAAATTAATTATCTTTTTAGTATAATTTATTCAAAGCGCTATATATAATTTTAATATGCTGGAAAGCTCGCTTTATAACATCAAAATCTCATTAATGACCATTTCGAAATGAAAACCTTTTCGATCCGAATTACTTTATTTGAAGACTTTGGCAAACGTACTGTTTCTTAAAAAATATCGAATTATTTCTAAATTTTCACAAAAATTATAAAATTTTTAACGAGAATTGTATCATAATTTAACATTTTTTAAGAAACGAAGAATAGAATTAAGAAAAGAAACTTAAATTTTTTTTATCAAGCTACATGTTTTGTATAATGAGTACAACAAGAGAAATCTGCACACAAAGCAACAACTAAAGGTGAATAGAACGATTCCCTACAATATGTAGGTTTGTAACATGTGTCATCAAAAGTTTTTTATGTGCTGCTTTCGCAGTTGCTGTTTACCAACTTTTCTGGTTTCGACTGACAACTATTAACCAATTTCTGCAAAAAAAAAAAACGGAATTCGTCATAAATGCGTACTACTCACGTTTATGTTTCGTGTTTGGTGCAGAGTGCGAGTTAGACAGCCAGCCATAATGTTAACTATTTTTTTTTGCCGCTTTTTTTACTCAAAAAGATTGCGTGAGACAAGAATAAAGAATTATTAATGATATGAATCGCTACAACAACAAGCTATTAATTTGCACCCATATGCATGCATTGCCACCATAAGGTCAACCATTAGATAGATAACACAGAATGGTAAAATTAAATTATGTTGGTATACGCACAAACATAAGTTGCATCCTGTACCACTTTTTGGTGCGAAAATACCAAAAAGTTAGTGACCTATTTAAGTTGACGTCAAAAACCATATTGAAAAAAATCGATGAACTTAATTCGTTCAAGCGTATAACAAAAGCGTTTGCCAACGCATGGTATGGCTTTGTTATATGCAAACAACGACTTGTGGATTGTATGTTTGTAAGTGTGTAATTTCCAATGCAGGCAAATAATCTTTTAACTTCATCAAAGATCAGTATTTCAATTTATAATTGTAAAATGTTTTGGTTTTTTTTCATATCAATATGTATGAAATTGAAGCTACGTTACTCACTGACAAACAAACATTTTAATCACTGTTTAATTTAAATTATTAAATTAAAACGTTGAAGATCCTAAAAATATATATAAATATGTAATAAGTGATCAGCATGACGAGCTGAATTGATTTAGCCAAGTCCGTCCGTATCTGTATATACGCTAACAAGTCCCTCAGTTTTTGAGATATCTATCTGGAGTTTTCCACATGTTCTTTTCTCCTCACAAAGTTGCTTCTTTGTCGGAACCACAGATATCGGAGAACTATAGCATATAGCTGCCATACAAACTGATCGATCAAAATCCAGTCCTTGTATGGAATATTTTGTATTTTTGAAGGGCAACCCAAGTTAACGTTTTTTCTAGTTTTTAAACTGAATTCTAATTCGCAGTGAATAGTAATCAAAATATTTGAATATATTTATTGGAATAAGATTATTGATAAAGTAAAAATTATTATTACAATTATTGTAGATTACAATAATTTGGAAAAATATTCGGTTAGAACAAATAGCATTCATTGCTTGCATGTATAAATATCGTCAAAACAGTGAAACTTGATTTTTCTCCACAATTTCACACACATACACATTTTTACAAAAATATATGATTATAGATATAATTAGCAGCTCTGTAGAAATTGAACTACCGAAAGCAAAATCACTGTTTCATGACTCATTTAAAAACAAAGGTACAATACGGGTTTGTGAAAATGCCAACAAAAACAAAATGCAATTTAACTGGTATTTAAAGGCATTTTAGCATGTTATGCATGCATGCATATATAGCGGCGAGCAATCATAACTGCTTATGCACATTGTTAAGACAAGTTCGAACAGACCAAAAAAAAAAAAAAGTAGCTGGTGTTGTGCGCATGCGCAAAGGTAAATGCAAAATATCATGAAATTGCATGATGAGCATATCTGAAAATCACAAAAAATACAAAGTAGCAACGAAAACGAAACAAAATTGGCCAGAAAATGAGTAAAAAATGTTTATTTCAGCCGCAAAAATGCGTATTCACTCATCGGTCTGGTTTAAATGACGCACTCCATTCACAGCTCGTTGTTTGTCATCGTGCATGTGATAAGTTTTTGTCAAGTGTGGTTTTGTTTTTGTTTTAGATATGGCAAGCCATTTGATAGGTTTGCTGCCATAGTGATAATTGAGTTTTGTTAGTGTGGCGTCAAGCGATAAGTGTGTATTTGGCCTTAGGCAACCCCTTATATGCGCTGCTCTATAGCCCCTTGTTAATTGATAGCTGCAAATTAACGGTTAAGGTTTCAAAGTCAGTATGCGCATACATATCTACCAGATACATATATGTGAACTATGAAAATGTTCGTGCTACTCATGTGTGCGAAGTCAAAAGGCAAAAGCGTACACGTCAAGGTCTTTGGAGTTGCACTCATTTCATGCTTGAGCTTAAAATTCCTCGCCGTCTTTTTTTTTACTACAATTCGATTTGCTCAGCTTTTCGCTATTTTATCTATTTTAAACGTAATTTGATTAACACTTTTAGTTTGGTTTTAATTACATTTCTGTACAATTTGCACTTGCTACAACAATTTTTGTGCACTTGCTCGGTAGTGTTTTGTTTTGAAGTTTTTGTATACATATGTATATAAATTGAAGCTAATTTCAAGCATTTGATTTAATTAAAATACAGAAAAAATTAAACTGTTTGCCTTTTTATTGCAAATTTCAAATATTTTTCCTGCAAAAAAATGTTTTACTTTTACGTAAATAAAATTTTTCAAAATAAGCTTTAGTGATTTTTTATGATTGCAGAGAGAAAGTAAGTATTTTTTTAGGGATTTAACATTTTTGGACTATAAATGTAAATTTGAAAAGCCCAGATTGCATAAAAAAAGGTATCCTTACGATGAAAACCAAGTTTTAAATGTTTCTCTTCAAGATGCATTCCGTTAGCTGGTTTAAATTTCTCCAGAACAAAACGTGACAGACACTTTGCCCTCTCAATTTAAAAAAAAAATGTATTCTTACTGACCGTCAATTAGTTTAAATTGGGAATATTTAACCGTTATGTAGTAAAAGATTGAGGTAATCGAACCATTTTAAACCCTTCAAATTGTTTTAATTTTTTTTGTCAAATTTTTAAATGTCAAACTACTTTAGTTTTCTTAACCCAACTAGAAGGTATAATGTTAAAACAATTTGTAAAATGTGTGAAATTAATATATGCACATATATTTTCCTCTTCTTCCATTCACCATTATTCAATATTTTTTTTTTTAATGTATTGCCCATCTGAAGTTATAAAATTTTTCCGTTTTTCTGGCAATTGGTGGGTTTCATTTAAAAAGAGGATAATTCAATTTTCGATACCTTGTTCTGATGTTAACTGTATTGCAGTGAGAGCTTTCCACATGAACTGGGAAAAAATAGTAATCAGAAGGGACAAAGTCTGGGCTACAAGGCGGGTGAGGCAAAACTTCCCAGTTGCTGTTCTCAAGATGGTTTTAAACCGGTTTTCTAACATGAAGTCGAGGCTTTTCATGATGAAACATTTTTGCCTTGGTTCTTACGGGCGTTTTTCGACAATCGCTCCCTTCAATTTGATGAGTTATTGTCGGCGTTCTTCATTAATAGTTTCACCCGTTTTTAGTAGCTCACAATACAGCGCGCTCTTCTGATCACACCGAATACTGAGCGTTAATATTCGGCTTTGACCTTGATTTGTCGTAATGGATCCATTCACCAGGCAAAAACGACTTCTTTGAACTGGCTGATTGAGTGAGTCCCAAAGATTCTGTAAGCTCTACTCGTGTTTGGCAACAACCTTTACCGAAAAATGTTTCCAGTTGCTCATCTTTCAACTTTTTTAGCCTCTCCGGAATCTTCGTCTTCAAAGTCAAAATCAAAACTTTTAAACCACTACCATTTTTGGTGTATTCGCTCAGCTAAAGCATGTTCACCATAAATTTCCACTAAAATACGATGACTTACGGCAGATGATAGTAGATTTCCAACTCATGTTCGGAATATTCGAACATTGAAATAGTAACCAAGTTATGCCATCTCTTGGCAAACCGCAGTAATATATAGTAGTAGACCCAATATTTTATACATTTTATACCCAAAAAGGCCTTAACTAGTATGGGAACAGTACAAACAATAAATATACATACATATGCAAATTGAGTTTTTAACACCAAATTCTCCTCCAATTATGTCTCCAAACTATCTCATGTAGGTATGTGCACACTTTTACAAATGTTTTGGCCAATAATAAAAGCGTGTAAATTAAAAAAAAAAAAATACAAATTAAAATATTTTCTGTGACTTCTTACATATTTGGTATGTAGTCACCTCACCGGAAACAGCCTTAACACTCATTAGTTGTCACATGTTGTGTTGTATGTACGCTTGCAGAGGTGACAACTTTATATATAGTCAACCAAATGTGATTTAAAATAAAACAACATAATTAAGTGTTCAAGTGGGTTAAAAAAGTGTTTTAATGAGGTGAGCTGAGGCAACAACAACATACGTATGAAAATGTAAACGCTTTTGCGCGTGAATTTTAGCGCTTTGAAACTTCA